CTCCTGTCTTCCTCAAACAAACAGCACTGCAAACCAGAGGAAAACAGGTTTCCTTTCTTCCCCCTCCCCCTCCTCCTCTTATCCCCTCCATTCTGTTTTATGTGCTTTCTGCCCGAAGTCCAAAGGGTAAGTGTGGAGAAGCAGCATGAGGTCAAGTGCATACTGAGAACATGTTAAAGAGCCAGGCCTGGGTTCTAGCTCCCGACCTCCCACACTAGCTGCAGGCATCTCCCTCCCTGACCTCAGTTAGGCTAACTTGGCCTTCCTACCAGAAAAAAGCCAAGTCAGGTCCCTGCATGCCTCACTGTGCCCAAAGCTCAAGTGAACCTCTAGCTCTGATCCAGCAGGGATAAGCAGAAGGTGGTGAGCAAGAGCACAGTGGCTGCTGGGAGCAACAGCATGTGTAAAGCAGCAGCTCAACCTCATCAGGTTAGGGCTTTCCTGGGAGAGGTTTCCCCAGTTCTTCCTATTGTGTATACCAAGAAATCTGCCAGCTTGGTAGTGAAGCTTCCCAAGGGAAGTAAATGACGTGACCTTCCTCTCAAGGACTGGCCTATCGCAGGTTCTGCCTCAAGGTTGTCCTTGGGTCCCTCCTCCATATCCAGAAATTCCAAGTGGTTTAGATCACCACAGAGTAGAGTGGGCAGAGGGGCTGGAGGGACTGGACATCAACAGCTGGTCTGAAACTGCACTTACCTGCCAGGAATCTCTTACAACTCATTTTTTTTTCCTTACCTATACAATGAAATAGTCCCTAACTTAAAAGAATGAGGGAATTACAAGGCTGTGTAGAGCAGTATCTGACACACAGTATCTGGAAAATTAAGGGGCACCTTTCCCTTCTTTCTATGACCAAAAGGATATGTGTGAAAATGCCACGATGAAATCCATTGCTTTGTAGACTAACCAACCTAAAAACTAATTTAAAAATGCAGTTCCAAATCTGATTTTTTGAGCATCTGTCTGAATAAAGCTCAATAAGGTGGTTTCAATGGAGCTGAACCTCGATCAGCTCTTGACTATGCGGAGTACCATCCAAGAACTGCACTACTGGCTTAAAAACAAGGCATGTTTTATTCATAATGGGATATGACAAGGTTACATAGTAGTAAATTCACAGTAGTGACTTATTTTTTTGTATGTAACAAGATCCATAAAAGCAAATACTATCCAAAAATACTTAACACCACTTTAGAATCATAGGATCTCTGCTGCAAGACTGTTAAAGTAAACATGTTGACATTTCTGTGCTATTTTCAACAACCACTTTTTAAAGTTACATTAAAAATGTATAGTGGGCCTCCAGGGTAGTGGGGTTTGAGCAGTAATTCTCATAGTGTAGCCTTCCTTTGTTTCTTGTTTTTGTAGGTCACAGGTCTAATGTGACCTGTAGGTACTAATGTAAGAAAGAATCTAATAGGTATGTCCCTGCAGGACAACAGGCTCTCCACAGACACCTGAGGAAGAAGCCACTGTAAGAAATAAGGCAGAGGAAAGACAGGGAACTGCCCTCAGAGTAACGTTGCAAAAGCCTGGAGCTCTGAGGAACTCTCTGGAATGTAGGCACACATACACCCTGACATGCTCAGCACACACATGCACAAGTGAGACACATACCTATCTGCCACAGGTCACTCACATGCTATGCTGGCCAACATGCAAACATGTCTACCTAGTAACACATGCTCAGAGAAATACTCAAATCCATCCTCACGGCCGGAGCCTTATACAGCAGGGCCCAGATTCAAAAGGGTAAGCCAGGAACTCCACTTTCTTGGTGACTGGAACATTGGCTCACTCAATGGTTGGCAGTGAGGAGAGGCCTACTCAGTCCAGTAGGTTGGTGGCAGCTCACAGACAGAGCTGTTAAATAAAAACGTGCATTCAATAAGATGAAATGCAATGTGAGAGACCCAGCCACCACCTCTGGCCCTAGGGGCGGGCAGAGTGAGCACCTCAAACCTTTGCAATATGCACCAGCAAGCCAGTCTTCCCATTAGAAGAGTCCCATGCTCCCAGCAATACACTGCAATGGACTAAACAGGCCAGGACCACCTAACTTCTCACCCATTGCTGTAAAGCATTTATCGTCTTGCAGATTTCAAACGGGAAGGACAGAGAGGAATAAAGGGAGTTGACAACAGCTGGGGAACAGAAAACAACAACAACAACAACAACAACAACAAATGGTTAAGCATTGTCTCTGGGCCTTACTTTGTGAACTTGAGCCAACAGATTTTGACTCCATGGATAAATCTCTTGATGGATGAACTCCACAGCCTTAAAATCCCTCCCAACTCTTAGGGTATAGACTCTAAAACATTCAGTTCATGAACTATTAAAGACTGCCATGTTTAAAGCACACATTTATGAACAAAAGCTGTCCACTGGCTAAGCCACCACTGAGGAAGGAAATAAAAAACCTGCACCCTTCATTGAGTTCCTTCACATTTAATGTTAGAATTTTAATAATGCAGATTGAAAGCTATAGGAAAACAAATCTATGAACCTTTAAGTAAATGTACTCCTGTGTCTAATAGGAACCTATCTTCTACTAGTCATAAGGCACATTTACACTCTTTAAAAGGAATAGGCTACCGGTTCCAAGATGCACTGTCTTCAACTGTGAGATGCAGCTTTCTGCAACTTTACTTTTTTTTTCTTTTAAATACCATTCACGTGGTTCCCACTGCACTAGTAATTCAAGCTATTAGAGGTTGGGAATACAAAAGCTTTACGAGGATCCTGCATTGGATTTTGTTATTCTTTTAGGAAGGGGTCAATGCAAAGTTAGTGCTAAAAAAAATCTAAACTCAATTTAAAATCTATACACAATTTCAGGAACATTTCTGACATTCTTCTATGCAAAGAGTAGGAGGGGGGTGGGTGGGAAAGAAAATAAATAAATCCTTAATTTAAACCTTTCTTCACCCTGCTGGGAATGCACATACCAAAGTGAATGACTCCAACTTAACCCATTCTAGACTGGTAATCTAAGATAGGGTTGGAAGCACAGTTTTTAAAATGCTGATGAATAGTGTTGCTTTTAACTTTACATATATACATTTATGGCACTTATGAATGCACGGTATTCAGGGTAGAGCATTCTCTATGACATTAATCTCTACACTCAGCCAAAGCCTCGCACATACTGACCATCCCTTACCTTATCTCCTAAAATATTTCCTGAGAAAGACATCGTAAGGAACTTCCAGTTTGAAGGGACCTAAAGGGGAAACTAAGAACAAAAGCACCATGGTTACAGGACATGTGACTCTCATAAATGGAACCATGACATCAAATAGGACATCTCGGCTCCACACCACATTCATGGCTTCCCCTTCTTCTCCAACACATCTTTCAGAGCTGGCCTCTGCTGAGTCAAGAACAACCTTTACTTTTCCATGTACAGGTGTAGTACAAATATCCCAAGACCATTTTGATTTTTAAAATGACATACAAAATACAGTGTGACTTGTGGAATGCATGAACAGGAAGGGTACACATGGAAGGGCACACGCATGTACACTGAATATGTTGACACCGCCCTCCTTACTTAAAGCAAGACTGACTGCCCCAAAGCTGAGAGACGTAGGAGTGACTATTTGGTGAAGGATTGCTTCAGATACAGGAAGGGAAACAGACCATGACAGCCCGCTGCAAGGCATCAGGACACGGCTCCTTAGGCAGTCCCCTGTAGCAGGGCTCTGTCAGGAGGCACCTATGTCCACAGCTGGGGCCGTGAGGGGATAACCCTCTGAAACCAGCTGTAGAGCCAGGGGACAGAAGGGTCCTTCTGGACCAGAACACTGGTTCCCTACCCCCATGAAGCACCATCCCCTTTCCTTCTCTCCTCCTGACCAAAACCTAAGAGCAACTGATGAGGCAGGGCTGAGCAAGCCCTTTTCCTCCCAGTAAGTTACACAGTGATGGTGGTTGAAGAACACAGGACAGGATAGCAGTAGTTGCCAGTGTGGTGGGCACTGTGGCTTTGTAAGATCTTATTTCCCTGGGAAATCAGATGGTTCCAAGTGGCACCTGCCAACCTGGGAGTCACAGTGTTGGTCTCTCCTGGTTTGCATAAAGCAGGGATGAGCAGGATTGGGTGGAGTGAGGCTCCTGCTGCAGCCTAAAGGGGGCTTACAGCTGGATGGCTCTCCTGGGTCATATCCTACTCCTCAGTAGAAACAATCTGTGGGAGGGACTGAGGCTGTGCAAAGAGTTTGTGGGCAGACATGGAGAGCCAGGGACCCAACAGCTCTTGGGGGGCCAAGCTAGCCTGGCCAGGGCTGCCCACTAAGTGGGGATGCAGTCTTTGTGCTCAGGAGAGTGGGATAGAGTGGAGCCCAGGTGGACAATCCCAGGGCTTAGGGAAGGGGACCTGCCTCGGGCCAGCAGAGGATCAGGACGAGAAACAGAGCTGGTTTTCTCCTTGGGAAAGAAGAAAAGAAAAGAAAATGGCTGTAACCTGACAGTGCACATTTTCCATTGGGATCTTTCTCTGAGGCATTTAAGGTAACAAAGAACAAATACACAGGCAGGCAGGGCTGCCTACCACTCCCGCTGGGGGTGTGATGATACGGATAATTACATATACAAATGCACGCACAGAGGTGTAGTGTCTAGTCTCCTGGAGCAGAATAAAGTGAGTCCCCTAGAATCTGTGACAGGATCAACCAGAAGTATGGGGGACGTGGTACTGGACGTAAGGCGCCAGGCTCCCAAGACTCAGCAGTCCCACTTTGGTTTACAGCCATCATAGAAACTCGCTGGGAATAGCTTCTTAAAAAGTCCCACCTACGAAAGTCAGATGCCACCAATCACTTGTTATCAGGGTGAACATCCCCCGCTTCCTTCCAAATAAAGTGCAGATGGTCAAAGGGTACTGGTCTGTCATCTGCCAGTTTCAGTCAGTAATGAAGGAAAAAAAAAAAAAAAACTAAATAAAAAGACTCCCTCAGTACATATATATCTCTGTATATATTCTTCTTTTGTGCTTTATAAAGCCACAAATATAGAACTTTTAAACTGATGTCTCAGACTGCAGGCGAAGAACAAACTTGTGAGATTTGGGGTCTATGAACTCTTCAGAGAGTACAATGAATGGGATTTTCTTCACATTGACTACGAGACTGAAGTCCAAACATTTAAGGACGAAAACGATTCCATCCCGTAGTCCGTTAGTCACGGCCTCGTCACTAATAAGTCTCCACTGTGTAGAGAGCCAGCGATCCTTGTCATACTGCAAGGTGGGGCCCGCGCTGAGGTATCGTTCAAGGAAGGCCTGAAAGCAAAGAGAGACTGTTAGGGAGGAAACAAACACTCCCAGGGCAGGCTGCCAGGGGCTGTCCTTCTCCCACTTAGGAAAATGATTCTCAGCTACAATGAAACCTTAGACCAGAGCTCAGCTTCTCACACTGGAGCGCCATCGACCCTCACTGGGGAAGGAAAGTTCCTTAGAGCCTTTGACAATTCACGATCAGAGGGTGAGGTGGTTCTGTCACACTGGTGAGGCAACTGGGATGGCTGCCACCAATGTTTGCTTGGAGGTCACTAGGGATGTACCACTCTTTGGAAGAACACGGGCCCCTCTGTGTGCTCTTCGACCTCTTCCCACTAAACCAGAAGAGCCTTGAGTGCAGCCCATGTGTGTGCCTGACAAGTGTACTCAGTAAACCCAAGCCAAATAAAAAGGAACATATGTGCACAGACAAAAGTGATGTTCTACCCGTTGGTCGTGTAACTTCGCACAGTCATTTCCCCAGAGATAGCACTGACTTGCTTGCAGGGCTGCCACGAGGAGGGAAGGGTCAGTTCTCAGTACTCAGGGATCTGCCTGGCACTGAGTAAGCACAGGGTGAGTGATGGTTATTTTATGTGGAATTGATTGCATGTGTGGCCAGTTCTAGGCCGGTCAGACGAATCTTCAAAGATGTCTGACTACATATTCAAGTATGCCTTTCTTCCTGCTAAACACTGATCTAAATTCCTCCTTGCCTTTCTCGCCTTCTCAAACTATCTTTGCAAACCTCTTGAATGGATTGGCCAATCTTCCCAGTCACTAGGGTGGTCACCATGTGATATCTTCCTGAACTATTACTCACTTGCCTGTTGCCTGCCCACTCTAGACTCCATGCTCACCGAGGGCAGGAACTATGTTTCCTTCTTCTTTGTTTTTAAACTTGAATTCCCAACATGTCTGGAACTGAACAGTATTTGAATGAAATTAAATACATCCGTTGACTTAGTTGTGAGAAGGAATGTGCTAGTAATACCGATCGAAAAATGTTGGCATGCATCCATCTGGTCCCAGGCTGAGGTCAAGGTACTGTGGGCTTGTCAAGCAGTACTCTTTCATAACTCTTCAACTTGGCTGTAGAGTGCAAGCAATTGCAGCCATGGTGATAGGTACATCTGAAGGTGTGCCTGTGTTCCTGTGAAATTGGATTCACAGAAACGGACGACCCTGGCTTTGACTCACGAAACTCTTAATTCAAATGTGCGTCAACAGAGTCAGCTAAGCAAATCTGTGTTATTTGGTAGAATCAGAGGCAGCTATTCACGGGGGGTGAGCTGAAGGAATGAGTCAGGTCTGTGTGTACTGCCATGGAAAGATGCAATAAACCTTAAGTGAAAAGTGGGTTTCTAAATATACATGTGTCTAGTATCACAGCATGTCTGCTTTAAATCAACCAGAGATACACAGGGCGGAGAAGACAGACACAGCTCTGAACCAGTAAGAACTGGTGCAGGGTGGAGGACAAAAGGCTCCCCGCCTCCTTTTTTTTTTTCCAAATTTTTTTCTTTTTTTAGTTAGTTTGTTCAGTATATGTATGTAGGTATATAGAGAATACATGCCTCTGCACACATGTGGAGGTTAGAGGACAACTTTTGGGAGTTGGTTTTCTCCTACCATGTAGGTTCTAGGGACTGTAGTCAGAGCATTAGGCTTGGTGGCATGTGCCTTTACCTACTAACACCCACTAAACCATCTCACTAGCTTGGAATTTCCTTCCTCCCTCCATTCCTCCCTTCTTCCCTCCCTGCCTCCCTCCCTTCTTTCCTTTCCTATTTTAGAACAGTTCTGCTTGGCAGTCCAGGTTGGCCTAGAACTCACTATGTAGCCCAGGCTGACCTCAAATTCATGATTCTTTTGCCTTAGCCTCCCAAGTGCTGCAATTACAGTCATAAGCTGCACAGTTGGCTGAAAACATCACTTTCTATATTGGACTCTGATGTTTGGATTTTTACACTACAAGTATCTATTGTTTATAATTTAGGAAAGTAGAAGTTTTTAAAACAAAACAGGAAGAAACTAGACAACTTTAAGAAGTCTTGAAGAAGAGGCCAGAGGGATATCTCAATAGTTAAGAGCACTGACTGCTTTTGCAGAGGACCCGGGTTCAGTCTCCCAGCACCCACACGATGGCTAACAAGTGTAAATCCAGTTCCAGGAGAGCCAACACCCTCTTCTGGCCTCTGTGGGCATTGCATGACATGAGTCCACTTACATACATGCAGGCAAAACGCTCGCACACAAGAAATGAAAACAAAATTTCAAAAATATAATTTCAAAAAGAAGTCTTAAAGAAAGAAAACCAGCTGTTCTTCTCCCAGTCGAAGCCCTCACTCTGCACACAGGCAAACTGTCTGCATTTGCAACAGTGTTCGCACTCGCTGTGTTGTGTTTGGAGTTTTATAGCTAAATACTTGAATGAAGATTTTTATTCCACATTCCAACAGGCAATATATCATGACATATAAGATACGGCTTTATTTTGAAATGATTTCCAGTTTGGAGTTATATAGGATATTTTGGGGAGGGGGATTCAAGTTGTACATATAGCTACCCTTAGGTATTCATTGAAGAGCTGATTCCAGGACCCCCTTCAGATATTAAGCTCTGAGTACACTAAAGTCCCTCATACAAAGTGACACACTATTTGCATATAACCTACAGACAGCCATATACTTTAGAATCCATCATCTCTAGATTATGTATAATATCTAGTACAATGTAAATGCTAAGTAGGTATTTGTTACACTGTATAGTTTAGGGAATAGTGATTTAAAAAAAAAAAAAGCCTTGCACATACTCAGTACTGAGGTGTGTTTTTCCCTGAATCATTTCCATCTGTGGTTGGAAGAATCTATAGATGTGGAATCCATGCATGTAGGGAGCTGACCCATGTATCTGACTGTACTGAACATTTTTCCCAGATGACAGACCATGGAGTCGAGGAACATGGAAAATCTTACTGTTTCTCACTGAATATTCCTACCATCATGAATATTTCTGTGTCACTTTTCTATTTGTTTGTTTATTTATTTATTCAATCATTCATTCATTCATTCAGACAGGGTCTCCCTATAGCCCCAGCTGGTCTAGAACTCACTATGTAGACCAGGCTGGCCTTGCGCTCATAGAGATTCACCTGCCTCTGCCTCCTTAATACTGAGATTAAAAGCATGCACCACCACTCCCAACCTGTCTGCATCAATTTTCTAAGGTGGTAATATTGACCACCTGCAGGATTAGAGTGGAGTAAGGCAAGTAAGATGTTCCTTATGACAAAGAGCTATCAAATGTTATGTGTGCAGTTATGTGTGCATTAATGCCAAGCTCGTTCACACTTCCATATGATCTACATGCTATACTGCCTTATATAGCATCATTCTTACACAGCAAGCATACCAAGCAGACATCTCTATTACCCCTGTTTTACAAAGTTAGAGATACTTGGGCACAGCTACAAACCAATTCAGTGGTGGGCTAAGGATTTGAACCCTCTGCTACACCCTCTCTTTTGCCTCCTTGGCCACACTGTTCTGTTAGATAACATAGATAGTTCTTGCAATATCCCTAAAAGTGTGTTAATACTATAATCCGAAGACTGATCAGTAAAGCTACTTCTACAACATCCAAAGTTATGGCATCATCTCTACTAAACAATAGCTATTTAGTTAGACCTCATCATATGAGAGGATTCTTTTAAGTATCTCATGAATTAACATTTTTAGGTTCCCGAATGACCAAATTCAGGAGATATTAGATTATCCCCAATTTATAGGTTAGGAAACAGGCACAGCACTAGAAGCTATTTTCCTAAGGTGGCACAGCTAGATGGTGGAGAAGCCAGGCTACAATGAACCTGTTCAGCCCTGGTATGCACACAGTACCCAAGCCACCACTGTACTGGCTCCAGGTGAAAGTCTTTCCACTGTTATTATAGAATCCAGAGGCCTTCCAAAGGTACATAAAAAACTGTACTGGAGCTAAAGAGATGGCTCAGAGGGTAAAGTGCTTGCTGTGCTGGTATGATGATCTGTGTTCAGATGCTTAGCACCATGCAAAAAGCCAAGTGTGGTGCTCACCTGTAACCCCAGTGCTGGGGAGGCAGACATAAGAGGATCCCTAGGGCTCCCTGGCTAGCTGGTCTAGCAAGATCAGGGAGGCCAAGACTCAGTGAGAGACTCTGTCTCTAAAAAATGAGATGGAGGCTGGGCATAGTGGCACATGCCTTTAATCCCAGCACTTGGGAGGCAGAGGCAGGTGGATCCCTGTGAGATCAAGGCCAGCCTGGTCTATGTAGTGAGTTCCAGGCCAACTGGGGCTACAGGGAGACCTTGTCTCAAAATAAAACAAAATCAAGAGAAAAAAGAGTAGGTGGCGAGCAATACAGGAAGACACAGGATTGCCACTTCTGGCTTTCATATGTGCAAGTGTGGGTACATGCATCTGCACACACACACACACACACACACACACTGTGCTAAGGTGATATTAAAAAGTCACTAATTCTTATCATTTGGTGTTTGGAGATGTCTTGGTTTTATCATTCCCATCACAGGCTGAGCATCTCTCATCCAAAAATTCACACTTAAGTACTCCAAAGCCCCAAATCTTTGAACATTAACAAGAGGTCACAAGTCTGATGTTCAGTGTACACAAACTGTTTCATGCATAAAATTAATTAAAATGTTTCATAAAATTACCTCAAGGCAATGGAAGAATGAAATCTATGTGAATTTTGTAACATGGACTTGGGTCTTATCCCCAAGGTATCTCTTTATGTATATACAAATACTTGAAAAAATTTCAAACTCTGGGCTGGGGAGATGGCGCAGCTGGTAAAATGTTTGTCATATAAGCATAAGGACCTGAGTTTGCTCCCCATAATCCATGTATAAAAAGCCAGGTACAATGGTGTGCACTTATAACCCCAGTGATAAGGAGGCAGAGATGGGTAGATCTTTGGGGTTCACTGGCTAGCCAATCAACATAGCCTACCTGGCGAGCCCCAGGCTAGTGAGAGACTCTATGTTAAAACACCAAGATGGATGGCTCTTGAGGAATAACACCTGAGGTTGTTCTCTGGCCTCCACATGTATATACACATGTGCACCTGCATATGCACATATACCCACAAACATACATACACACACACACACACACACACACGAGTTCAAAAACCCAAAGTCTGAACTCTTCCTTATCCTAAGCATTACAGATAAAGGGTATTCAATCAACAATACCCTGAAATGTGACTGGTTAGCTCAGTGACCAACTGGCCCATCAACATGGGCAGCAGGCAGGCAGCGCACCTTGGGGGTCATGCTGTTGGTGATGCAGAAGGCCAGGTGCTGCAGGATGCTCTCCATGCTGTGGTAGTGCTGCTGCCGAGTGGTACGCAGGTACTTCTGGAGGGCCCTGGCCATGGAAGGGAAGATGGCCTGGGCTGCCTCCCTGGGGTCCATCACCTCCCCAGGGGCTTTCTGCTGCTCCTCGGCCTGGAGACGCTGGATGTGGATGAAGGCCTCTTCCACTGCCACCACCAGTCTAGAGGGAGATGTGACACAGTCATCACAGCAGTGCTCACTGCAGGGCTGGGGGACAGTCCAACAAGACCTGGAAAGCCATCTGCCCACCCTGCATCTAAAACTACCACCAACTCCCCCAAGGCTCGGCCACACTACCCTTCCCTAACTGTCCTCCAGGGGATGGGAGGAGAGTGGGAGAAAGAAAAGCAGCAGTAAAAGTCAGATGAGGGTGGAGGTCCTGGAGTTGAGCGACAAACTCTTAGTTCTGGCAGTAATGAGCTCAGAAAATTGACTTCAGTCCATATTTGAATTTCTTTAATGAAAAGCCTTCTAAAGTCATTCAAACTCTATCTAAGAAGGGTTCTGCACACGAAGAGGTAGAGAGTGTGTAGAAACAGCTTATAAGAACCAGAGTTTGGGGGTTGGGGAAGTAGCACAGTTGGTAGAGCGACTGCCTAGTATACACAAAGACTTGGGTTCAATCCCTAGCACCACATAAACTGGGTGTGGTGGTACACACCTGTGATTCCACCTCTCAGGACATAGAGGCAGCAGGGTAAGAAATTTAATGTTATCTTCAGCTCTATAGAGAGTTCAAGGACAGCCTGGGCTACAAAAAAGAAAAAGAACAGGAACCAGAGCCTTGTCCCACCTGATCCAGCCAATTACCCACAAGCCACCTCTGTCCCTTTCAGATGACATGGAAAACCAGTGCAGGCCAGTATCACAAGCCCCTGGATATTGGGCAGAGGTACAAATCCCAAACCTGCAATGAGCTTAGTGAGTGATCCAAAGCCTGTGATGGGTGTTACAGGTAAGTCTGGTGCTGCTTATACACACCAAGTCTGAGAAACACTGGAGCAAAGTGTGCTGCTATAAGCACTCACGCAGGCCATGTTTGTAAACAGAAGATTCAGAAGTGGAGAACAAAACCTTCAGTAAGAGGGTACAGGTGTGTGAGGGTACATACCGAGCTCTTCGCTTCTTCACCCGCCGTTCGTGTTCAGCTTCTTCATAATACAACTCATTGTGGCTGGAGTCCCTGCGCCGAGCGGCTGCAGCAATCATGGCTCGGGACTGACCAGTAGCATTGTTACTGGGGCCTTTGAGGAAAGGATAATTGGGGAAGAACAGCTTTAATAGCAAAGGCTTGGAAATGAGCAGGAAAACAGTACCAGGGTCTGTCGCTGTCCACCCACCCCCTGTGAAGCACACGCAGTCCTAACTGTAACTTCCCTTGGGCACAGCGCTTGGCCAACACACAGCAACCAAGAAATCTAACCCCAGCCTGATGGGGGTGTGGAAAAAGAACTCCAAAGGGGGTGAAGAATTTGCTCCACTGAAAACACTGGCCAAGAACAACACCCACTGGAGCGTGCAAAGATGTCACTTACCATCGGCTACACAAAGTTTCAGTTTGGCCACAAGGGCAGCTGGGACATCACATGCAGCAAACAATGAGAGAAAATGAGCAGGGTGGGAGAAGAAGGACAGACAGAGAAAAAAAGAGAGAGTCAAGGGGCACGTACAGCGGTCACACACAGGAAAACACGGCAGCTACCGTTATCACCCAACGCCAGTGCTGGGGACACTGCCCATCTGTGAAAAGACTTAGAATTCTGCTGTCATCCCTGACTGCTGACCCCATTAGTTTGTCAGAAAGGCATGGCAGGCTCTCAGGCTTTCTTCTGGGTAACTTGCTTGAATGGTGACTCATGGGAAGCTGCTGAGTTTTCATATCACAGATGTATTTTACCAGTCCTTCAGGATTCACAGGGAACCACACATTTTACATAGACAAAAAAATCTAGGAGGATACTGTCACTAAAAAATGATACCCAGCATAAAGCAGTTGATTTGGTGACAACATGATCCTCTTCTGGAGTCTGTAAAGCCCTTGTCCTGTTCTAGGTACCCAGCAAGGAATGACACAGGGTCCTGTTTCTCACACTTAAACACCTGATACTCTGAAGGAAACCCAGCTGGGACTGCTCCAGTCTGTTTCCAGCTTCTCCGGCTCCTAGCCAGGACTGAGAAGTGTCTGTGCAGAGCTCCCGAGACACCTGAACTGACATTTCTAGACTCCATGCCCTTGGGGAACTTTCTCAGTCTTTGAATAACTTGTCCAAATTTTGAAAAGCAACTCCTTCCTATTAGCTTTCAGTAAAAGGTGTTCCCAGGAGAGGCAGGAAATACATCACTATCATCTCCAATCACAAAATCCCCAAATGAACAAATTTCCCATATATGCTGACTGTACACATATTGCCCTGGAAAACACATTTGCCTCCATTCAATAAAAAGAAATTGTTCTGAAATGAGAAAGGACCATAAAAAGCAGAGTAGGAGTAGAACCAAATGTACCGTTAAGTTTAAGCCCATAACTATGCCCTCCACCCCAGACACTTTAGAGCACATACCATCTACATTGTAGACTTTCAGGCCGGCCATGTGCTTGGCTGCTCGGAACTTGGAGGCGGTTAGGAGGTTTGGGTTATAAATGGTGAAATCCTTGTAGTAATTTTCCAGAACTACCAATGCTGCTCGCTGGATGCTGTGAACAAGGGCACAATTATTGCAAAGTTTTCATGGAATAAGCAGGTCTAAAGTGAAAAAAAACCCCTTTCAAATAATAAAAAGTCAATAACCTTCTGCAGAAGCCTGCGGGCTTCTCCACCCCTCATGAGTCCCACTGTTAATGGCATCCTTGCCTCCCAAGGCTCTGTCATTCACCATATCCCATCTAACCAATATTTGGAAGAGGAAAAATTTATTTATACTTGTAACTGAGATTTCAACTTAGTATGTAGAGAACTTTATCTGTTTCACCTCAGTTTACAAAGAAGGGAAACTGAGGATTTCCCAAAGGAAAAAGGATTTGACAGTGGTCACAGGGCTCACAAGTGAAAGGACAACGTGCAGATTCATTCTCTGAGGCCCTTGCTCAGTTGGCCTCACACACATGCTGCACTGCCCCATCAGAGGAACTGGTCTGGTCTTCTAGATCACAGTCATGGCCTCCCTGAAACCAGGCATCAGCTGTGAATATCTGGGGATTAAGGGCCTGGAGATTCCCTGCCTTTTGACTGTTGTCTCTGGCACTCAACAGATCTGGGAGCTCAGGAGAACAGAGTGGGGAGCAGGTGACATCTACAAGCAGGACTGGGTGTGGGGATGTGTATGCTGGGAGCCTAACGGAAATCGGATACAAAATCCCCAGTTTCAAGACCGATCCACAATAGCAAGGGAAGGGCTTTCACTTAACTCCATTTCATCTGACACTCCCAATTAAGATCTGAAAACTAAGACTGAGAAACCTACATGCTGTACAATGACATGATGTGAGCCACAGGCAGACCGGCACTCTGGTGCAGTTTGACAAGCTCTACCCCACCTCTTCATTCCATGCTATGTGGCCTCAGAAGCAGCATGTGTCCTGACACCTGCAGCTCTATGTTGTTCACCAACCCCAGGGTACTAGACACCACAGCTATGTTTTATCTTGCCCTTTAGAGTCTCCTTCCTAGCACTCTGCTAAGATGATGGGCTTATAAGGATTATTTATAACAGCCAGGATTGCTAGGACAGGGCTGCCTTGGATTCCTGGATCACCATGTGGCATCACAGGTCTCTCAGAGTGGCTCGGAGTCTTCCTTTCACACTAACCATGCAGCCACTTAACTAACCAGCTAAAGATTTTTTTCTGTTATACTACTCCTCCCCTACCTCCCCTCCCCCGGTGCCTTTCTCACAAGCTTCCTTTGGAATTCTGCTTTAAGAACTGAACGGAGGCCTGGTGTTGAAGCTCAGTACTTTCCTAGCACTATATGAAACTGCTGCATGCCTGTAATCAGGGAGAGGAAAGGAGATTAGAAGTTCAAGGTTATCCTTGGCTATATAGCAAGTTAGAGGCCAACCTGGTTTACATGAGACCTTGTCTCAAACAAACAAAAAACAAAACAAGAAAAAGAAAATCAAACAGAACTGCACAGAGTCTACAAATGATGGAGAAGCCAGTCAGCTAACCTCCCTGACAATGGAGACATAGCAATGTTTTCTCAGTTCCATCCCCAGCAGTGAATGGCATTCAGTTGTGTTTAATGTTATTGTAGACATGTGAGATGAGGGGACCATTGTTGGGGAACTCTGATGAGATCAAGCTTGCCTAATGGAAAGCAGAGATTTTTAAATTTTTTAAAAAAATATTTTATTATTTTAATTTTATGTGTATGAGTGTGTTGCCTGCATGCATGTGAGTTGCACCGTCGTGCGAGGAAATCAGGGATCTCTAAGAGTCAATTTCCATTTTGGAAGTCCTTGTCATTCCCTCCCTTGGCTACTCACCCCCCATTCTTATATTTAAGTATCTGCATCTGGCAAGCTCTGCAAAGTCAAGGGTCACCGGAAAGCGCTTCCACTCAGCCAGGTACGTGGAGCATCAGGGATGAAACATGGAGGCTGTTCTTACTCTGGGATACATGGAGACCAACCAAGCAGGGTTTCAACACTGCATAGGACAGTGTAGAATGCAAGAGAGCAGCTTGCAGGGAGGCGGCCCTTAAGCTGAAGTTTGTGTCATTACAGATCTTTGTGCTTGCTCTGAGCTCTAGAGGATCTCCAGCTCTGCGTGGTCCCAATCTCTTCAGAGAAGGACAAGTGCTCCTTGACCCCACTGCATCCAGAGGTGCATCACAGCCTGTGACAGACATATGCCTTCGTGAACACCTATGCTACTTATGGCTCTGCCCACATGCTGATTTTCCAGAATTTCTGGGCCTCAGATGAGACAAAGAGCCCTTAAGCATAAAAATGAGCCATAGCTATCTGGACCACGGGTTCACATTAGTCCACCCCATGCTTCTTTACTGACATAGAAATTTCTCTAGGTGCTTGGGTTGTAACAGAAAATTATTTCCTTGATCAAAAGTTAAGAATTTAGGAGACTGGAGCGATGGCTTAGGGTTAAAGAGTGTTACTGTTCTTGCAGAAGATCTGGGTTCAGTTCCCAACACCCTATCACACAGTTCATAACCTCCTGTAACTTCAGTTTCAGGGTATCTGATGCATTCTTATGGCTTCCATGGGCTCCTGCATGCACATGGTACACATAAACTCACACAAATGGGCATATACATACCCATACAATTTTTTGGGGGGGTCTTTTTGAGACAGGGTCTCCCTGTAGCTTCAACTGGCCTGGAAGTTTCTATGTAGACCAGGTTGGCCTTGAACTCATAGAGATCTGCCTGCCTCTGCCTCCTGAGTGCTGGGATCAAAGGTGTGTGCCATCATACCCAGCAATACAAAATCATGAAAAAAAGTTAAGAACAGAAAGGCAATTTTCAGAAATTGTTCTCAGGCTCATCTTCAAAACAAAATCCTCTTGTGGTGGCTACTGGGTTTTGCTTTTCAGTCAGGCCACAAGGAGAAGCTCAGAAAATCCCACAGACTCAATAGAATCCGGAAACCATAAGGAAACCATTCCATTGCTCAGTGCCTTCACTCCACAGCTGTCCTGTGCCATCATTAGAAGTGGCTTCTCTCCTTGTCTACCTCCAACAGGCTCCCTACCTTGCCACCTTCCAGTATGGGCCCAGGGCAGCCAACCTCAGAGTAAAACCCTACATATTCCCTAAGAAGTGTCCAGGGATGGGGCTGGCGCAGTAGGTCAAAAAGAATTGATATTTCAAGCAGGGCTTCAGTCTCCCCAAGGCCAGAGAAACTCAGAACCTTAGAAGCACACACAAGAAGTACAGGCCTCCTGCTCTCCCTCCAGCCCTGTCATCTCACAGAGACACCAGGGTGACTCAGAGCCAGGCAAGGCCCTGGCGGGCTGCCCAGGCTGACAAGCTAACACTGGAGCTGAAGTACTCTCACGCCAAGTTTATAAATGCCTCTAAAGAGCTGCACATACTTTTGCCTACAGAGAACCGTTTGTCTGGGACTCAACCGATGTAACAATACTGGTGAATGAGAATTTCCACAGAACTAAAACAATATCTAACCAACATGACCATGTTTAAAAAATGGTTGTGATCATTTCGGTTAAAATCTAATTTATCACGCTTCATCTTTTTACAGGGAGTAAACCATGTAATACACAAACCACAGAGGACCAGAGCAGGCCCTGCTTCTTTCAGGAAGCCTTTCACACTCACCAGAACCTATGGCCTGTCCCTAAACTGAGAGCATCCCCAGCACCACATAGAGCTGTGGCATCTGTGCTGATTAGTTTTGTCACTTGATACAAAGTAGAGAGATCTGGGAAGAGGGAACCTCAATTGAGGAATTTCCTCCATTGGATTGGCCAGTGGTCATGCCATGAGGCATTTTCTTAATTGCTCATCAATGTAGGAGAGCCCAGACCACTGTGGGTGGTGCCATCCCTAGGCATGCGGTCCTGAGTGTATCAGAAAGCCAGCTAAGTAAGCCAGGGGAGCAAGCCAGTAAGCAGCCTTCCTCCATGGTTTCTGCTTCAGTTCCTGCTTCCAAGTTCCTGCCTTGGCTTCCCTTGATGATGGGCTGTAAACTGTAACCCAAATAAACCATTTCCTCCCCAAGTTGGTTTTGGTTAGTGATCATAGCAGCAGAAAGTAGACTAGGAACAGCATCTGCTAGAAATTCAGCATGTGGGCCTTTCCTCTTATACAACTACTTTCAGAAGTCTTTTACACACAAAGGACATGCCTCTTGATTTCTCCACATATGACACTTGCTGGTTCAACTTGTCCACTCATGAAACCCTGGGATTCCCGTAGGTCTAGGATTGACCCCGAGAATATATTTCACAAAACCATGGAATTTCAGAGGCAAAAAGGGCCTCAGAGATGAACAAAAGCAAACGATTCAACCAATTCCAATCTCTAGACCAGATCACCTCTAGGGAAGGAGAGGGGAAAATCAAATTGGTGAGGAGCTGGGTACCATGCTGTATACACTGTATTTAGAGAGAAAAGATGGTGACCTGGCTCAACCATCCAAGCAGGAGCCCTGCACTGCAGTCAGGTGGCGTCTGCGGTACAGGCTGTGGATGCAGTCAAACCTGAACTTTAGGAGGGAAAGGGCAGCAATATATCAGCACAGATGACCAAGGGAACCACAGTCACACTTTAAAGCTCAGTGCTGACCAGGTTGTCTTGCTGGCCTGTTTTTTCTGTAGCACAAAGAAGTGCAACATGACAGGTGTTGGTTGTTTGAGGAATCAACACCCATGGTTATAAGATGCTGTGACCACAGGGCAGAGTAGCTCGCCCTTGAGCCACATTTTTAAACAGACCTGGAAAGACACAAACACCTGGCAATACAGTTCACATTTTAGATCATAAAAATCTGAAAGATAAATTGATTCTAAAGAAAACAGGGACATGGACTGGGAGGACACAACTACCAGCCAACATGACTCTTGGATCTTTTGTTTATTTTTAAAGATATATTTAACTCTCTGTCTCCCTATCACTCTCTGACTCTGTCTGTGTGTCTCACGTGTGTGTGTGTGTGTGTGTGTGTGTGTGTGTGGTGTGGGGTGTGTGTGTGTGTGTGTGTGTACATGTCCTA